TTTTGGGAGACAAAGTTGTCTGCTAGGTTTGTCAGGAATCTGTTTGATCTTCCACTTGGTGCAGAGTTTGTCTCCCAGTTGATATCAGGGTAATTAAAGTCCCCCATTACTATGGTGATGTGCTTTCTACATACCTTAGTTAGCTGACTAGCAAAAAGTTCATCTATTTCCTCTGTTTGGTTGGGTGGCCTATAGTATAAACCTATGGCAATGTCATTTTTTCTCCCTTTTATATTGACCCAAATGCATTCAAGACAGTTTTCGTCATTGTTGTGCTCTATTTCTGTAGAGATGTAGTTATTTCTTATATAGAGAGCAACTCCACCTCCTCTTTTATTTGGTCTGTTTCTTTTAAATAATTTAAAATGATAATTTAAAATGATAATGATTACATCATCAACTCCTTGATATGCATACTCATGAAAAAGTATATATTTTTGTCCCAAACACTGCTCAACATGTGTTATTGTGGTGGGGAGACTTGACTGTAAAGACTTTCTAATAGCAAAGAACTCTAACAGGTTCTCCAGCCTGATGTTTTCCAGTTGTGTGCTACCAAAACTTCCACAACTTTTCAAGCCAGCATATTAGAGTATGCATTTTTCTGTCTACCTAATTTGTTCATATTTCTTTCACAATTTCACAGCTTTTCAAGTGAATAGAAAGAGCAGACCCCGCCCACCCGGACAGAAAGATCAGCATGGTAACTACATTATATTGTCTGTCCCGTTTTTTCCAACCAACTGTCTGTATATATGTCTATCTGTGTATCAGCAAGAAAACTCTCTGAACACAAACCAGAATGGGATCAAATATGGCACAGCAGAAAATGTCAGAAAAAGAAAAAATGAGTTTGTAAATGGGTCAGTCCAGCCAGGAACTACAGAGAAGAACACTCCAGCAAATCCATCATCAATTCAGCCTTATGTCAAAGGCTCTTGGGCACTGAATTGGAATACTGCCAAATGCTCCATTCTAAGCTCCCCCCCTCCTGGCATTTGCATCCTGCTCTGTTTTTTTTTGTGCACACATATGTGTAAGCACACAAACAAGTAAAGAAAAAGCAGAAACATGCACACACTCACAGGAGGCCACACAATTCATAATTACACTATGGAAAAAAAGAAAATGCCTCCTATGGCTATTTATTGCTGGTAAAGGAATTCCATGTATAATGATCTACATGCTTTCCCTATCTTGTTGCAGATAGAGACAACATCCACTGTCTTCCAGTTGTCTGGCATCTTACCAGTTTTCTGAGATTTCTTAAGATAGTACATACAGCTTCTGCCAGATCATCTGCAAATTCCCACTCTAATATGTTGCTGTTGCTTTAAGGGCAACTCCCAAGAACAACTCTCAAATCAAATAAGTTATGTATAAAAATGGAAAAAAGTTCACAGCTTGTTGTTCATCTTTGAATGTTGCCTGTGTTTAGTGACAATAAAAAATCCCCTGATAACCAGTGGATGTATATTACTTATAGATAGAATGTGAGATTTAAACTCATTAAGAATAAATGAATATTCCCTGATTATGTTTTTATCAATCTTTAGCCTGTTCTTCCCAAATGTCTGGGGAAAGATATAGTAATAGCACTTAGACTGCTCCGTATGTAAGTGTGTTTTACAGCACTTTCTGAGCAGCTTACAATGTCAGCTTATTGCCCCCAACAATCTGGGTTCTCATTTTACTGACTACAGAAGGATGGAAGGCTGAGTTTACATTGAGCTCATCAGGATTGAACTCCAGACTTAGGCAGAATTAGCCTGCAGTACTGCATTCTAACCACTATGGCATCATGCCCAGTTGTTGATAAACACAGAGTCAAAACCAGAATTGTGTGCTTCTGCATTTTATTTTATTTATTTATTATTTATTTTAGGTTTGGTTAAATTAATTTTTAGTTTGTAAAACTAGTAGCATTTTGCCACTTTATTCACTGAACAACTGTTACAGTTATTTTCTTTCTATTTGAACATACTTGAAAAAGTGTTTTTTGTGTTTGTTAGCATCTTTTGCCAACATGACTTGGTTACAAACATGGTACAAGCACTGTGAGTCACAACTGCAGATTACTATCTATTCAGTTGCATTTTTATTTTTTAAGACATCACCAGGAAAGGAATTTTGTTGCTTATGTCTCCATTCCCAGCTTCTCAAATTATTTATATGGTGTGATACACACACACACACACACACACACACGTATAATTAATCATTACTCGTAGTTAATTTAATTTTTTCTTGAAATGAAGTCACCAGAAATGGAAGATAAATTGTATAATTTAAGTTTATTTACATTTCTGTACAGGCTGAGCAAAAGAGTTTTATAGTATTAATAACAGATTTCCATTTTCCACTATTTCTATTTACTTAATGGTAAATATCAAACTTTCCCCTTATTTTTCCAGTTTTATTAAAT